GTGCATGGCTACCGGCCGCCATCTTGGCTGGCAGTTAATTTGCATATCGCCCTGATTAGCCAATGGGAAGGGTAGCGGATGTATGGCTAATTACCATGTTTCTCTTTTATTAGATAGGATACCTGTCTTAGTAATCAATAGAATAAGCAGACAATTTTTTGCATTTGTCAGGATAACTATATGACTTTTAAATCTGACCTAATAAAGTAATAATTTTATACATTAAAAAAAATTAACTTCTGTACTTATCTAAAGAATCCCTACTTGGTTTTGGTTATTTTTCTTTTCCCTCTTCCCTTTAAAATATTTTCCTTTATTATCCTAACATTTTTAGTGAATTTTATGCACACTTTTTTCCTTTCTCCATGTTTACACTCAGTAAGAAATTCAGTATTTCTATTTTAGCACCTTCCTATCTATTGTTTACTTTGAATGAGGAAAATACATTCTGTTACTTAAAAAAAAATACATACAAATACATTAAAAAAAGTATATGACTTAAATTACTTAAAATTATGTATAGTAAAATATTGGAAGTGATGTAGTCATTACTAATTGATGAGATTATTTTTATTTTTAAAATCTAGGATCTTCTCAATAATTTTATCAAGACAACTGAAAGTAATATAATGAAGCAGTCCATTTGCAGTTATCTAGATTGTGAACGATCTTGTGAAGCTGACATTTTAAGGAACACCAATTATAAGGTACTATAATTATCAGTTAACTGAATATTTAAAAAATAAACTTAGATAAAAATTATTGTATTATGCATCAAAATAGTATTTCAAAAGAATACTTATTTTAATAACAGTGATAATGCAGTTGAGAAATTGTTTGAGTATCTCTAAGAATTTAGAATATTTTTTCTTTCTTTTTTTTTAAAATATATTTTTTATTGATTTTTTACAGAGAGGAAGGGAGAGAGAAAGAGAGTTAGAAACATCGATGAGAGAGAAACATCGATCAGCCTCCTCCTGCACATCTCCTACTGGGGATGTGCCCTCAACCCAGGTACATGCCCTTGACCGGAATTGAACCTGGGACCTTTCAGTCCGCAGGCTGACGCTCTATCCACCGAGCCAAACCGGTTTTGGCGAATTTAGAATTTTAATGACCTGGAATTAATTTATACCCTGTGAGTCAATAAAAGAATGAATTGGTTTTGCTAAGGGTTTTGTAACAGTCACATGTCTCTGAAGTTATAATTAATATTTCTGCTATCATAGAGTAGAAACTATCTAAAATATTCTTTATAGTTAGAAATGTTATTTTATTTTCATTTATCTAAAATTTATTTTACTAAGGAGAAAGATTGTCACTCCTCAAGATTTATGTTACCAAGTAAGTGATCATTATTTTTGCTCTGGGCCTTGAAGGAGAAAAAATTATAACCAGCCTTAATTTGAAGAAATTCAACAATCAAAGTACTTCAAGTCTGGTTCCCAGTAGATATGGCAGAATAAGACTGGGAAATCACAAGATAAAATGAGATGTGATTATCAGTGCAAATCTAATACCACTTCTATGAAATAATGGAAATCTCAATTGAAAGGCATGGGCATCCAGAATGAAGCATGTAGCAGGGAGGGCTGCCTAAAAAACATCTGTTTGTGAGAATGACAGTTGAGAATGCTTTTAATGTGTGTTTTTGTTTTTGTAAAAAGGAAAACTCAGAAAGACCAAAAGAATACATTTTATGTTTTTTTTTAAATAAAGATGGCTATTATAATGGGGGAAAAAAAAGAATGACATGATGTGTATAGCAAATGGGGTAAGTAGGGAGGAAGAAAAAGCCAAGATCTATTCATTAGGGTAAGTTAGGAATTAGGGAAGTAGACCTGGTGAAGAACAGTGCTTATGATGGGCAAGTTCAGTCTTGGTGTAGGTGACATGGTGGTATGGTTATGGTTTCCCAGGGAGGTAATAGCGTTCCAATCACATACATACCATGTAGCAGCAGGAAGTCCTGGCCACAAAATTTAGATTTTTGTCATCCAAGCAATCTATCCCCTAAAGGAAGCATAACTATAGTTCCAGGGAGGACACACTGAAAAGGACAAAAAAACTTGTGAAGTTAAAAGTGACTTAAAGTGATATTTCTATTTATATATGATATTCTATTTCCAGATCAACAACTTATTTTCATTCTTTTCCAGGGATTTTTTCAATTAATGTGCAGTAAAAGTTGCTGTGTCTATTTTCATAAAATTTGTTGGAAAAAGTTCAAGAATTTAAAATATCCAGGTGAAAATGATCAGGTATTTCATTTTTCCTTAAAAACTTTACTACAACATTTCTTCCTCTACCCTTTCCTCTTTTTTTCTCTCTTTTTTTCATTTCTTCCCGTTAATATCCTTCCTCCTCTATTTTACCTCTGTTTGTTTTTTTTCCCATATTTTTTCTGATGCTTTTCTCCTTACTATTCTTTGTTCATTATCACCATTTATTAAACAGATCTTCGTAGGGGATACTCTGCTTGTTGCTTTGCTTAGTGATTCCTATCTATTTCCCTATGGAAGTTTATACTCTTAAGAATAGAAATATTGTTGCATATATTTACATAAAAGTCATAAAATCAAAGAATAGAATTGCTTAATAAACAAACAGAAAGGACAGTTATACAATTTTAAGGATAGTTTCTATTTTAAGGATAGAGAACAATGATAAATTTTATAGTCTTCAAAAATCTATTTCTGATTATGTATATTTACCTAAAGTCATATAACTAAATTGAATTCTTTGCCACTAAAATTAAAGTAAAAGTATAAAGCCCAATTCTATATTAATTATTCTTTGGTGAGTTGATTACCATTTAGGTTTATGGTATTTGGTCAGAGTGTTTATATTGTGTACACAGAAAACCCCAATAAAAAAAATTGTGGCATAATTTGCAACAGCATGGATGGAACTGGAGAGCATTATGCTAAGTGAAATAAGCCAGTCAATGAAGGAAAAATACCACATGATCTCACTCATTTATGGATAATAAAGTCCATTATAAACTTATGAACAAAAATAGATACAGAGGCAGAGC